CTGCCTGTGGGGAGGGGCAGCTGGGCCATTGCCGCCCCAAGCGTAAGGCGCGCAATGTAACTTCCCAACCGCCTCCCCACACCGCATCCCAGCCAGCCTGTGCCACCCCCAGCAGCTCTGGGTGCCCCCTATGCTGCCGCCAGGGCCAGACAGGCCCTTCCCCGGTGGCCGCCAGCCTTCTGGTAGCAGCAGTAGCCATCACAGCACAAATATGGCCGTAGGCCTGATGCAAGTCTCCACGCCACCTGGCCCCAGACTGGGCAGCCCAGGGCCCAATCCTTTCACCCAGACAGGCAAGCGTGGGGCACAGAGGGTCAGGAGTGTGCATGCTGGTCCCCACCTCTACTGTGGGGCTGGGGCAAGGAGGTTGGGAGCAAGCGAGCGTGTGGGAACCAGCAACAGCCCGGAGGTGCCCCGGGGCCAGCACCAACAGGGTCCAGAGTAAGGCAGCAGGAGCCCAAGGCACGGCTGGCTCGGTTCTGTGGAGCCAAGCTGGGCTGCACCAGCAAGGAGAGAAGGGAGCTGGCCCCAGAACACTGATGCTGGCTCCTATGCGTCCACTCAGCCACAGCCCCCTGCCCCAGCCCTGTGGTACAGGCGGGGACCAGCACGCGCAGCCCCAACCCCGCACGCGCCGTGCTTGCCCGTCTGGGTGAAAGGATCCTGGCTGTTGCTGGTTCCTGTGTGCCAGCTCACTCGCAGCTGCATGGCCGGACCACGAGACTTAGCAGGAGCCGGTCTGGTCCCGAGGACTGGGGCGATCGGTCACGGTCCTTCCCTGCCTCCCTGTCCCTCGTCTCTTATCTGAATTTCCCGTTCTGGTGCAGGCCCACGGTCTCCTAGGCAGGGGCTTCTGGCTGGAGGGGCGGGGCCAGGGTCGGGGTCAGGGCTGGGACCAGGTGGGCCTTACTGTTCCAGAGGCCTGCTGTGGCTTCCCCTGGGTCCTACTACCCCTGGCTCCTGTCATTTTGGCAGTAGCCAGGGGAAAATAAATATTAATTTAAAACAAAATTTTAGGGGCCCTGTGGGCTGGATAGAATGGCCTGGTAGGCTGGATCCAGCCCATGGGCCGTATTTTGCCTTCCCTAAATTGAAGTGCACCACAGCTGTGGAGGGAAGCACTGGCCCTCCCACAGCTGCAGAGAAAAGCACCAGGGCCCCCACCCTGGAGCCACAGAGGGAAGCACCAGGCTCCTGTGCAGCTCAGGCAGGCATGCAGGCTCCAGGGAGAAGAAAAAAAAAAAAAAAAAAAAAAAAAAGATCAGGCTTGCTGTTTTTTTTCTTTTTTCCTTTAGTAGAGCCTGCCTGCATGGGCTGCCTCCACAGCCCCTGAGTTGCAGAGGGCCCAGTGCTTACCTCAGCAGCTATAAGGTAGCAAACTAAAACACCTCGGAGATGTTTTATTTTGCTGCGTCCCAAAGTCATTTAACATGCAATACGCTGCTGGCAGTGTAAACAGTCACACTACTAAAGTCGTGCAAAAGGGCATTTAAGCCACTTTAAAGGCCAATTTTGTGACGTGTACAAAGGCCCAAAATAGCCAAATACCCAGTCTGACATGATCTTCATGCAACTCCTTCCAAACACTCCAAACTAGACAGGTACCATTCCAAATGTATTCCCTTCACACTTTCAATCTTATACCACTCCTGGACTGTTTAATTGTCTTATTTGTCCAAAATGTGGAGCCTTCTTTTGAGAGCACTGCTTGTAAACTAGGTGCATAGGGGATGGGTGTGTAGATGGCAATGCAAGCCGGGGGACAGCGAGCCAAGAAGAATGTAGAGAGGGCCATCAGGGAGGTGTCGAGAGGCTGGAATGGCGTTGGGGAGGCGGGGAACTGGGTTACTAATGGGGGACTTAAGTGTCTATACAGAAATGCTACGTGTATGGGGAATAAGCAGGAGGAACTGGCACACCTGCTAGCAAGCAGGGAACATTATCTCATTGGAATAACAGAGACCTGCTGAGACACTACACTTGACTGGGCTGTATGCGTAGAGAGCTACAGGCTGCACAGAAAGGATCAGGTAAGGAAGAAGGTGTGCTCTCTATATAAAAGGAGCAGTATGCTTCCTTGGAGTCCCAGATTGGTTCAGGAGAAGGGCGACTTGAGACCCTGTGGGTAAAGATACGGAGGAGAAGGGGACTTGATGGTAGGCATTTAGTACAGACCGCCACACCAGGAAAAGGAGCTGGATCTGGAATTTTCCAGTGAACTGATGGAAGCTAGGAGTGGGGCAGGGTAGGCAGGGGGGTGTGGTAGATCCTGGGATGCCAAAAAGTGATCTTCACCATAAAAAGGTTGGAGACCACTGCTCTAGGAAAAGACTTGTGAATCCCCATAATAAGATTATGCTAAATGTGAATATTCAAGTACTTTGGTAAGACTGTGCCTTCCCTGGAGATGCACCAGTAGCACATGTGGACATGTGTACACGTGTATAGACATGCCCACGTGTATAGGCATGTGATGTGTATGCGGGTGCACGTGCACTCCCCGAGCGTGGTGGTGCACCCCCTACAAAAAGGCAACCGCTGACACTGCTGGTGGTACCTGTGGGCCGTCGCTGCTTGACACCCCGCTCCATCCACCAACACCACTGGCGGCCACCAGCAGTGATCATGGACGTCTGCAGGTGGTCACCGACTGCTGCTCAACGCTCACCACCACCCCATCACTGGCACCAGCACCGCAGTTGCCTGTGGGAGCTCCACGCTTACCGCTGCTGCCAGCGCTGCTGCCGCCTGCTGGAGCTTGCTGTGCCCCTCCAGCCACTGGGGCCATGTGGCATTCATGGGCATGCCTACAGGCATTGCTGCTGAGCCAGTTCCAAAATGACCCAATTGCTTTTCCTTAAACTGGTGAGCACCCACCCGGATGAAATGACAAACCAGAAAACCTCAATCCTCCAAGCTTTCCTGCAGAGTCGGGGGAGATCAATGTCACCACATGCAGCCCTGAGCTGACCCCCAAAGACACAGCTGCTCCCCAGAGGGCAGTTCCTCCAGCCTAAACACTAATAACACTGATATGCTTTTCCTGTGCTGTGAAATCTCACTCACAGCGCAGTGGGTGCCAGACACATACATTCATGTGCAGGAAACCTAGTAGTGTGCGGGACATGAGAACGATACCAGTTCGTAGGACTCCCATAAGCCCAGGGCACTGCACTGTGTGTCTGGACATCACCAAAAAATGGGGGAGAAGGGAGGTACGGGTTATTTGACTGGCTAAGCAGAATCGTGCTGCACACAGATTTCCCGGCCTCGCCTGCAACGGAGTGGTCTTCAGACCCGGGAAACAAACCACCTTTCAAGAACCGCAAACGGGTCTGAGAAGTTGCACTTCTCTCCCAGCCCGCCAGCCCAGGTCTGGGTCCAAGCAGCAACAGAGCCGAGGGGGGCCCCGAGAGATCCTTAGGACTTCTTCAGGGTCCCCAGCCTGTGCTATGCCACTACCGGGATTTTAAGAAAACCAAACAACAAATTAGGTAGGCGAATCTGGATGCCACCTTCCCCGAATAAGTATGTCACGGGCTAAAGGCAAGGAGAGGCTTCTCCTGGCCTGCCTTCCCCTGCCCCCGCGGAAGGGCGGCCCTTTCGAAGTGGCGGCGCGGCAGGGCCGCGGGGCCAGGCTGCCCGGGGCTGACCCGCCTCAGCCCGCGCCAGACGGGACTGAGCCGGGCCAAGGGCCGCTCCTCGGCCCTGCCCCGTGCCCCGAAGGCGCCCCCGCCCCGG